CAAAAAAATTACCAAGACAAGTGAGTATGGTTTCTAAGGTAAAAATGTCCTTCAGGGTAGATTGCGCCCATATGAATTTATGTATTTATACATTAAAACAGGAAAATAATGGAATAAATAAACTGAAAATAAATCTTTTCTCGACCATTGCTTAACCTTCAGAATGTAACTCAACGGTGAATCCAAAGAAGATTTAGATGAAGAAAATGTTGATTTCAATCTAGAGAACATTGAAAAACCCTGGTCACCACTTTCTTCGCTTCATTTTACTGCTAAATTGTCATTTATTGGAGGAATTAAATATATATGAGATTTTTTAAGTATTATATAAATGATTTGGCTTTTCTCATGATGCCTTTATCATTGAATTTATCTTTTGTAAGTATACTTGGGGCACTGGCATCAACAATTGTATTAAAAGATTCTCATCCATATACTGGTTTTGCATGTAGTGAATGGAAGCAAATAATATAAAATCAATTATAGGTTATCAGATAATATATAAATATTTTTTATATTAAATAGATTATTTTTACATGCGTACATATATACATTTTTATATTTTTATATCATTAATTGTTATAAATGTTATAATCAATTGCTGATTATTTATTATTAGCTTGATTGATTGATTTTTTATTTTAATGAAAAATATTCAGATCAGTTCAATCAGTTTTATTCGTATCTAACATTAAAATTATTGGCACCATTATTAATGTATTCCAATGCATCAGGAATTCGGCTTTATTATTTTACAAAGAGAGAGAAGAAAAAACAAATTGTCAGTAATTGTGCAATCAATTGTAATAATAATATTTTATTTTACTGTTAATACTTACTTGAAGAAATGTTCTTTGCCAACTTTCTCTATGATTCCTGCACCTTCAAACATTTTCTTTTGATTAGAACGTAATTTCACAAAATAAACATTTACATCACGAAGATGATATGCCTCCACTATTTCAAAAAGAATTTGTACAGCACTAAATAAATATGTATATATTACGTATATATTAATTAGTAATGCATTTTTATAATTTTTTTTAATAATTTAATAATTTAATGTTAACCTGGCATCAATCCCTTCCATCGTTTCAATATCAAATATCACATTTCTAACAGGTGACATTCTTGCATCTTCTGATGGATGAACACTCATGTCTCCGAATTCTTCTAGACGTCTAAGACGATCTTTAAGTTGTCCAGTATTAGCAAAATATAACGGTTCAGATATTTTAATCACTAAAACTCCTTCAACATGTTCTGCCTGATCTGGAAAATCTTTAATCGGTTTAAATTTATTAGAGTTGCCAATTCTTCCCTAAATATAAATATTATTAATTTTAATTTTTTAAAAAAGCGTATATATAAATTGATATTATATAATATATAATTTCATACTAACCATTATAGTAATGCGAGGATAGGTGGAATGTTTAACAACAAGCACTAATGATAAACCTACTGATATCAAAGTTCCATATTCAGTTGATATAAATATTGTTGAACAAAAGGTCAAAAGTAGCAAAACATAATCATTCCAAGCTTTTATTTTATACATAAAGATAAGATCATGAGGTAACTCATGTAATAAAGAGATAGCAGCCACACAAACTATTGATGCCAATACAGGTTTGGGCAAAGAGTAGAATAATGGTAACAGGAAGAATAAACAAAACAGAACAAACATTGCTGTTATAAGTCCTGACAATTGAGTCTTAGCACCAGCTTTATCATTAATCCTACTTCTAGCCATTCCACCATATGCTGGTATACATTGAAAAAAACTACCAATCAAATTTGATGCTCCCAATGCTACCAATTCACGATTAGGACTAACTGCATAATTATGTTTGGTGGCATAGGTTTTTGTGACAACTATAGATTCAACAAATCCTACAACTGAGATTAAAACTGCTGTCTCGAAACAATCAATAACATGAGCCAGCTTTGGTGGACTTGGAATTGAGAATTTGGGAAATCCACCTCCTTTAATATCTCCAAGAATTTTTACTCCAAGACTTTCCCAATCAAAAATAGAACATAAAATTGTATAAATTATTACACATATAAATATTTCGGGTATGAATTGTACCCATGAAAATCGTTTTGACAAATATCCTTTGATTGAACCAAAAACCAATAAGAATAAAAGACTAGAAAATGATATAATGGCTGTTGGTATATGTGATTGTTCAATATTATTTATGATATAAATGAGTTTGTCTAAAGTTGAAGATGCATGACCCAATCCTTTCCCTTCATGATGATTTAAGTCAGTTAATCTCAACATCACTAAGCATTGTTCAATAATAATTACTATTGCCACTGCTGAAATAAAACCTCTCAAAAGAGCACGTGATAACACCGAATCTATAAATCCCAATCTAACAATTCCAAGAATAAATGTCAGAATTCCAACAAAAAATGTTATCAATGATGCTATCATTATTGCAACACTTTCATCATCTACTTTGCCTAAATACTTTTGTTGTTGTGCTACTGATGACCCCACAAGCATTGCCACTAGAGCTTCTGGTCCGATAACCAATTGTCTAGGGATATTTAAAAATGAATAAATGGGTAAATGAATGAATAAATCAAAATAAACGCAAATATTAATTATAATTCACACCTTGAAGTACCAAGAAATGAGTAGATGACTCCTGGAATCACAATACTATATAGCCCATGTACTGGAGGCAATTTCGCCAACACAGAAAATGATAAACATGAAGGTAGTAAAATTGCTGTAACAGTCAAACTTGCAAAAAAATCACCCCAAAAAGTATTCAATGAATAGCTTGGCATCCAACTAAATACTGGTACATAATATCTGAGTCTAGTTCTAAATGTTGCCCATGAAAAATTTGACTTGGGATCTATTATTTGGATGACGATGAGGAAGATGATTTTAAAAAAGAAAAAAAGGCATTGATTAATTGAAAGTTTAATTGATGAATAATAATATATGGATATTTAGATTAATTACATAAATAAATATAAAATTTCAGATGATTTACCATTTCTTGTGGAGGTAAGAGGTGCTAATTCATCAATTTCTGAATCATCATCATCACTTTGGTTAGAGCCTATTGAGATGTAACCAATTAAATAATCAAAGCGTATAAAATGGTTTTAATTTATACAAGCAGCAAGACTTACTAAAATCATAAGGTGTTGGTGTTCTTAATTCGCGAGGTGTATGAGACATTTTTTTATATATAATTAATGTTATTTTTCTTTTGCCAAAAAATTTTCTAATACATTTAATGGAGAAAAATATTTATTTATTTTTTTTCACTTATTATTTTATTATTTTTATTATATATATAAACAAACAAATACAGATCATTCTATTCTCAGAGTTACGAGGTAATGATCCAGATAGACAAGAATTTAAATAGGAATAATTAGTAAAAGTTACACGCCAACTTCTCGTTTTTATAATATATTTTTTTAAAGAAAATTCGACTAACATTAATATAGTAATAGTATTTATTATTATTGATTTATGTAATTTTTAGAAACTCTCTATTTGTAATAAGTAAAAAAACAGTGATTCAACCTGTTTAGTGTTACACGATATAATACATTGTTCGTGGGATTTTTTATTTATTATTATTTATATTTAATGTGTAAAACGAAAAATTACCACAGCTAACCGGGAGAAAGGGGGAATCTTTCTTCTGATAAATTGATTAGTGAATATTATTTTGGCTTAGTGGAATTACTTATATACATACATTTGACGACTAGATTAAAAAACCTTTTGGCTAAAAACCAGTGACCAACAGCCGTCATCGCCCTTTCTATGCGCGACAAAAATTAATGCTATTGAAACAATGATAACTATCAATAAAGAGTAGTTTTTACAAGTAGGTTATTAATAAGGAAAACAATACACTTCAAGATATTTTATTCAATGAAAATATCCCAAAAAGTTCATCTTATTTATTTGGAAGTTGATTATATTGAAACTAATATTGTTGTTGGCACTATCCATAGTTTTGGTAATTATTAATTGGCAAAAGATTTGATATTTGTACGAGGAAATCAATTTGACATTATTAATTCAATTGGTCACTTAATCAAACAACATAAACCCCCCGTTACAAGAAAATATTAAAAAAATCTCGCCCCTCTATTTACAATTATCCAATTCTACTATTCCTGCTACTTGATGCAATATTAGTGGTAAATAATGAAGTAATGAGAAATATGGTTTCTTTTTTATTTTTAAATGTTCATATTTTCAATTAATCTCTAATTATACACTTTTGATAATAATAATATACAGAGTGTTGTGAAAAAAAAATGGCGGCAAGGAAAAATAATTTAATAATATTTTATTTGTTTAAAATCCTAATAGACTATTACTATTGCTATTACTATTGTCAATTTTTTTTGTAAAGCTGATTCACATCTTTTTTAGACATCACTAAATTTTTTGACTTGTGCCGAAAAGTATCGGAAACCCCAAATGTATTAAATTAAACAAAAAAAAACACATACTGTAATTAATAACAATAGAAAACATTGTATCAATTTGTAGCTAAAGTTCCGAAGATTATAAATTCTCACGCATCCGGCTTTTCTTGTCAATTAAAATAAAATAAATTCACAAGTTTAATATAATAAATTCACAGGTTTAATATAATAATTGTTCCAAAGTCTACATACTAATAATTAATATGTTATAGAATGCAACCGCCATTTTTTTCGCAATACACTGTATGATTTTTACTTTAAGATAATCAATCAGCAGGCACGTAAATCAATGTTTGGATTAAACATATGTGCCAATTTTGTCATGGTACAAGTTAATTAATCATATTAAGGAAAAGTTGACATGTAACATATTTTTAGTGATTAATATTAATATTTAAATATTCACTACCTATTACTATTACGTACGTAGGATGGGGCATGAGTAAGTATTGGACTATATTAATAATTATGAATGAATGTTAATATTTTTATTAATAAGCAAAAATATTCTATATTCTGAGAGTTCTATTATCAGCTCTTGTGATCAAACAAATTATTATCACATTATCACCATCATGTTTTAATTCAATCTTTATAGATGCATGATTTTGTCCATCTTTTATAAAATGAGAAATATTTCTCATATCCTTGAGAAACTTTGTTTTTTAATGAGGTGTGGAAAGGGGAATAAATAAACAACAAGTAATATCGATCAATAGTTATTATTACCCTTCAACAGAATAGCAAAATGATATAAAACATTTAAATTCCTAACCAAAGTATTACAGCCTGCAGCGGAGGCGTGGTCCATAACCATGCGGAGACGTAGTCCCATGGGTAGCTGCATGAATGTAACAAAGCTATCCAAAAAAAATTTTATACCTCGAATTGTTTCTGGAAACGTATTGCATTCTGTTTCTCCTTTCCTGAACCATGAATAGTTATATAATGTATTTGTTTTTCAATTGCTCTTGTTACAGAAGCTTTATCCATAGTAAGTTTGGCAGCTTTCCATGCCTTATGGTATTGAAGAACACCCCAATCTTCGCAAGGAGTATTTAGAAAGTAGCTAAATCCAGGCCTTCCAGTGTCTGATAGCATTATTGTAACAAATATGTCACTGTAACTTGAACTAAAATCTTAAGAACGTAACTTTTCATAAACAAATTATAAGAATTAGAAATATTGAAAGTCTTGTTAATTTCCTTAGAAAAGGAATCATGCAAGTAATAGAACAAACAGGAGCTGCAATCCGGGATTGAAATTACTTTTTATAAAAGTTGTGGGAAAAAAACAATAAGAGATTAGTCTTAACCAATTAATTAATTCACAAATTTGTTTTGAAAAAGTTATCTTCCAAAGACATTGTAAATCTGCACATGGGAAAATTCTTATCCTTAATATTAATATTAAACGGTTTTTCGGCTATTGATAGCCGAAATTTTTTTTCTGTTATAAAAAACTTTTTCTGAAGGTATTACTTCCTAATACGAAAATGATCTTTGAGATTCAGCTGATTGATCTGTGAATAAAAATTCGGTTGTTGTCCTTGTGGTTTTCGTAAAATCTTCCTTAAAAGTTGGTCGATTGACTATTTTTACTTTGCAGATCGTTAAATTGGCCAATAAGAATGCAAGATCGTGATCAAAAAATCATTTCGCGTTACCATTAAAGAATACTTTGACCGTTTAAGAGATAGGAAATTCGATGCATGCATTGAATTTTTCAATGTCCTACATTAACAAGTGAGCTTTTGCCTTTTACTTATTACACAATGACATCACTCGGGCCAAGACAACAGCCTATTTTATTAATTCGAAACGTATAAATAGGACGACCGTCCCCACATTTTTTTTCGTAACCAACCATTTGTTATTATTATTAAGCATAAAAAATAAACTATATGGATATCTCAGGTAGCTTAGATCGTATTTAAAATCTAACATAATTATAAATAATGTCTTCAACAAATTTACCCGATGGCAGTTTCCATTTTCTATCAGTCGACATCTGTTTATATTTGTTCTCAAATTCAATCAAAGAATCTTCAGTCATCTCATTATTATCACATTCCTTAATTAAATTAGAAAGAATTAACATATTAATAATTGAATACCAATAGTTAAACACAACATTTCGATTCAAAAAGAAGTTGCTGTGCCTCATCTTGTAATCGATCAATTTGTTGACTATAACTTGTATTAATATCTATTGCAAGAGTTTATAAAAAACATCATTCGGCACATGACATGTTGCCTTCATATATGAGAATCAAATATATTAATTACCTGCTCGACTGGCTTGATCCCCAGGACATATAGTGGAAATAACTTCATATGAACCGTGGAACCTTGCTTCATTAAGAACTTTTACACCTTCTATGACATAATTTTTCCCGACATTTCTTGTTAAATCATAATCATGTTATGTTGGTGATGATTAAATCTTGATCCCTGAAATTCTTTGTTATATCAATGTTCACTTTGTCTGGTTTTGTTGCAGCATGTCCCATATGAAAATTACGCTGAAACAAGATTTGCAGAAGCAAAGAATTTTCAGGTGGCAAACACTGCACCCAACCCACCCATTCCAACCCGCTTTATAAAATATCATTTTTATTATTTTTTAGTATAATATATATAAACACATGTACAAATGAAAAATACTAAAACATATAATAATAAAATGATATGCGTTAATTGCATCAACTGAATTTTCTGCACTATATTAATTAATATAATATTTCATTTTGTATTTAAATATAGAAAAATTTTGATTTGGCATTTTGTCTGAATAAAAAATAAATATTAATATCATAAAAAAGTAAAGAATTTGGTATTATTCAAAAATTTCTTTACTACTACTAATACTACTAGTAGTAGAATTTTTATTTATTATCGATTCATAATCAAAACCATTAATAGTAAAATCTTCTACTTCAAACACCCAACTTCCGGTTGCTGGAGCAAATGTAATAAATTTTGTATTGGGTATATTCTTTAGTCTAAGGATATGTTGTTGATATTGAGAATCTTTTGGATCTTTTATTGGTTGACGAGTAAGTTTATTTATTGCCCAACACTCATCCAATGTGATAACAGCTCTTTTATTAAGACCACTTCCAACTGATGGCTTACTAGAACCTTCTCCATAAACTGTACAATTTTTATCTTCAATAACAATAGTTTTACCAAATATTTGTTCTATGGGTTCAATTTCACTAAGATCCACTGGAACAGAATAAAGAATATTACCAACATTATATTTTCCAACCGTAAAGTCCTTGACTTGTTTTAATTCTTCTTTTGGCATTTTTTTAAGATCAGAAATTAATGGGAAGCTGTAATAACCATACTTTTCTATTTTTGGTTTTTTGATTTTCTTTTTTTCTTTTTCTTCTTCTTCTTGTTGTTGTTCAGCATCAGCATTTGTACTGCCATCTTCCACACCGCGTGGATTTTGTGAACCACCTGGTGTTCTTTTCTTTTTATAAAGTATATATCCACCTACAACTAATGAAACTAATAATAATGTTGCTAATGGTGCCAGTGCTGCAATACTGTAAAATAATTGTTCATGTTTGTGTGATATCTTTGTTATGCTATTAGTTGCTACTGTCAAGTTATCTTTTAATATGTCTATCATAGACTCTGCAGTAAAATTTCTAGTACTATAAATAGTCTTGGTGGTGGTAGTAGTAACCGTACCAGTAGTATAAACTGTGATAGTAGTAGCAACAAATTCTGTACTAATAGTATAACCTGTAGTGACAACAGTAGTATGCTCTGTAATGACAGGAGTAGTATAATCTGTAACGGTAGTAGTGATATCAATCGAAACATAGGTATAATCTTCAATAGTATTAGTAATAGTACACGTTTCCGGATCACATGGTTGTATACACGTTTCTTCTGGACAATCTATTGGTTGGCAATCTACTGCTGGACATCCTGATGGTGTACAATCTCCTGGTGGACAATTTACTGGTGAACACGGTAGCGGATCACACGATTTTGGTGGTGGACACGTTGGGCACGTTGGATTTGGTGTACACGCTGATTTTACTATAATACAATAATAATAATAATAATAATAATTAGTTTATGATATCATCCTCAAATTCAAAAATTGTAAATTTTTTAAATTTTTACAAATTTACGAAGATATCCATCTTTTTTGCATAATATTTTCCTATAAAAAATTATAGGCCTATATTATTTATGAAAAATATGCAACTAAAAAATTATATAAAAATTATATAAGATTGCTGAGGTTCATATTTTTTCATAGTTTACAGTTTCTGAAATTGATGGATGACAGTTTCAATTAATATTACTATGTCACCTTGATTCGCGAATAACAATGATAAAACACCAATTAAAATTGCGAATAATTTCATTTTAATAATCGAATTCGATTTTTTTTTAAAATTTATTCTTATTATATATATATATACAAATGGGAAAATACTTTTGGTATTGATAACGATAACTGTACAACGCATACATACTCACTTCATTATTAATATTAACATTAATATTTCGTATTAACAATCAGTTACTACTAACAAAGGCGACCAAAATAGACACAAGAAAATTTTATTTGGATGATTTGGCGCGCTATCTAGTACGTTACTTGTTTAAGAATTTAAAGATGGATGTTTGTTTGTTGTTGATAAAAAAGTTTTGTGCTACTAATTTCTGTAACCTGACAAAAAAGGGATTTATTTAATATTAAAATGTTGCTGTTTTAAATGAGACTTAGTCCCCATTTTAAATATACAGTGTATTAAAGAAAAAAGCGGCGGTGACAAAAAATTGCATATCTCAACAATTACATAACATAAATAATTTTCATCATATAATTTTGGCTACTTTTTCATTAAAAACAATATTTTTACAAACCACCGTTTTTTTCTTAACATCCTGTATATACATATTTAAATTTAACATTTCAGAAAAAACAGATATGCCAAACAAAGTCTATGAAGTTTATTCAGTTTTAATTTAACAATTTTAACTACATCATAGATATTGTTGACTGATCCGGATATTATTTAGGTAATAGGAAGTCAGATCTAGTATTAATGAAGATTAATATTCCGTGTTGGTATTTATTACTAATTATAATATTAAATATTTAATATTCACTATCTATTCCGTACATATGATGGGACGCATATGAAATTACGTTTCAACGAATTTATAATTCATTGAACAAGGTTCGCAGAAACAAATAATTTTCAAGTGGCAAACACTGCACTCAACCTACCCAATCCGTTTATAAAATATTATTTTTTAATATACAGTGTATATATATATATATACACATATTAATACATGAAAATTCAATTGCACACTAGTACAATTTGAAAAGTATGCCAGAAAAATATTAAATATATAATAATAAAATGATATTAATTGCATCGACTGAATTTTCTGCATTATATTAAAATTAATATAATATTTCATTTTATATTTAAATATAGAAAAAATTTTGATTTGACATTTTGTCTGAATAAAAAAATAAATATTAATATCATAAAAAAGCAAAAAATTTGGCATCATTCAAAAATTTCTTTACTACTACTACTACTACTACTACTACTACTAGTAGAATTTTTATTTATTATCGATTCATAATCAAAACCATTAATAGTAAAATCTTCTACTTCAAACACCCAACTTCCGGTTGCTGGAGCAAATGTAATAAATTTTGTATTGGGTATATTCTTTAGTCTAAGGATATGTTGTTGATATTGAGAATCTTTTGGATCTTTTATTGGTTGACGAGTAAGTTTATTTATTGCCCAACACTCATCCAATGTGATAACAGCTCTTTTATTAAGACCCCTTCCAACTGGTGGTTTATTAGAACCTTCTCCATAAACTGTACAATTTTTATCTTCAATGACAATAGTTTTACCAAATATTTGTTCTATGGGTTCAATTTCACTAAGGTCAACTGGGACAGAATAAAGAATATTACCAACATTATATTTTCCGACCGTAAAGTCCTTGACTTGTTTTAATTCTTCTTTTGGCATTTTTTTAAGATCAGAAATTAATGGGAAACTGTAATAACCATACTTTTTTATTTTTGGTTTTTTGATTTCCTTTTTTTCTTTTTCTTCTTCTTCTTCTTTTTCTTTTTGAGTCTTGGCATTTGTACTGCCACGTCCTATACTGCGTAAAATTTGTGAACCTCCTGACTTGTTTTTTCTCTGTTGATAAAGCATATATCCACTTGCAACTGATGCAGCTAATAATAATAATGTCAATGGTGCTAATGCTACAACACTAGTAAATAATTTTTCAACTCTGTATGATATCTCTGTCATGCTATTAGTTGCTACTGTCAAGTTATATTTTAATATGTCTATAATAGTCTCTGCAGTAATATTTGTAGTAGTATATTCAGTGCTGGTATTAGTAATATAATCTGTACTAGTAGTAGAATCTGTAGTAGTGCTAGTAATATAATCAGTACTAGTAGTATATTCAGTGTCGGTATCAGTAGTATAACTTGGATTCTCAACAGTGGTAGATTCTGTATTGACAATAGTGGTATAAATCGGACTAGTGACATGCTCTTCAATATTAGTAGTAGTACACGGTACCGGTGTACACGATACTGGCGGTACACAATCATGTGGTATACATGATACCGGTACACACGGCACTGATGTACACGATACCGGTGTACACGATACCGGTACACACGCTTGCTGTGTACACGATACCGGTATACACGGTTGCGCTGGACAATCTTCGCACAGACACGGTGGGTCACAACAGGTGGTACCACAGGTCGTTTGAGGTGGTACGCACTTTTTTGGTTCTGGTGTTATATCACAACAATTGGAACCACAGACCGTTTGAGTTGCTGAACAAACTAGACAACATAATTCACCACAGGTCACCGCACAATACTCTGACTGTGTCGATGTCGGTGTCGGTGTCAGTGTCGGTGTCGGTGACTCTGATTCTGACGGTGTTGTTGGTGGTGGTTCTGGTGTTGTATCTGGTGTTTGTGGTGGATCTGATGTTGGTGGTGGTGGTTCTGGTGTTGTATCTGGTGTTGGTGGTGGATCTGATGTTGGTGGTGTTGGTGTTGGTTTTGGTTCTGGTGTTGGTTTTGGTTCTGGTGTTGGTTTTGGTTCTGGTGTTGGTTTTGGTTCTGGTGTTGGTTTTGGTTCTGGTTTTGGTTCTGGTTTTGGTTCTGGTTTCGGTTTCGGTTCTGGATCTGGTTTCGGTTCTGGATCTGGTTTCGGTTCTGGATCTGGTTTCGGTTCTGGTTTCGGTTCTGGATCTGGTTTCGGTTCTGGTTTCGGTTCTGGATCTGGTTTCGGTTCTGGTTTCGGTTCTGGATTTGGTGGTGGATCTGGATCTTGTGGGTGTGATTTTACTATAATAATAGGAAAACAATTTTTTATAATAATAATAATAATAATAATAATAATTAGAAAATAATTTTTATAATAACATCCTCAAATTCAAACATTTTAAACTTTTTATAAATTTGTTGATATTTTTTCATAGTTTAAAGTTTTTGAAATTGATGGATGACAGTTTCAATCAACATCAATTTATCACCTTGATTCACGTATAACAATGATAAAACACAAATTAAGATTATGAATAATGTGAATAATTTCATTTTGATAATTGAATTCATTTTTTTAATTTTTTTTTAAAATTCATTCTTATATATATACAAATGGGAAAATACTTTTGGTATTGATAATGATAACTGTACAACGCATACATCCTCACTTCATTATTAATATTAACATTAATATTTCGTATTAACAATCAGTTACTACTAACAAAGGCGCCAAAATAGACACAAGAAATTTTTATTTGGATGATTTGGCGCGCTATCTGGTACGCTACTTGTTTAAGAATTTAAAGATGTTTGTTTGTTTGTTGTTGATAAAAAATTTTGTGCTACTAATTTCTGTGATCTTGACAAAAGGGATTTATTTAAAATACCTTTATTTTAATATACGGGTCCTGATCAATAATTGCCCAATTCCCATTACTGTGTATAACTCATCATGAAGAACATTTTTAATAAAATTTCGAATTTTCTTACAGTTTAAATAATTATTGCTACATTAATTTATTTATATGTAATAGGTAGTGTATATCAAATCAAAACTAGTTTATTTATATATTAGATAGTATTTGTATTAGATTCTGTTCAGTTCGAATTTTGTTGATTTGTTCGGGGCATTATATATAAATAATTTATTTAAAAACAAAACAATCTAAAATTTGCTATCTGCATCACAAGATGACACTCCACATAATTGATTGCCAGGGCGCTTTCTATTCTCATGTTGTACGTGAATTTGGAATCTGCGTCAATCTGAAATTCACGCGCGTGAAATTCAAATTAGCCAATCAGAATTTTGTATTCAAACACCCCACCCCAAAATTTAATTGCTCACTCATATAATAATAATAATAAATAGTTGCTCTGGTCTCTCCCCCTGTTCTTGTACCTGATGTTAAGTCCATCCAGCCTAAATGGCCAATTTAAAAAAGTAGTTAATATTGTGAAATAGTAACGGGATTCATTACAAGAATTATTGTTACACAGAATAAATTTCAAAAATTTATCTTCAGTTAATATCGTCTAATTTCTTCTTTATTTGTAAATGGTTATGTGTCCTTTTTGTTCTTATGATCAAGTAATATCAAAGAGGTATTTTGGCTATATATTAGAAACAGTAATGTTTAGACTACTTTTCATGATTAGTCATCAAATATGTTACTTTATAATTCATGGGAATGGTCTCGAGTTAAAAAATATATGACTTTCAAATAAATAACTTTCAAATAGGTTACTTTTGACCATATAGCTTTGTAATAATTAATTAATTAATTAATAATAAATAAAATAACATTTTTTTAAATTATTGGATCTGGTACTATTCCCCCGACAACCCGTTTCCCGACAGGATGTTTCCCGACATCGATTTCCCGATAAGACAATCTCCGACATCTCAAAATTATGTAGTAAAATAGAAATTTTGAATTTATTCTTCTATATATATAAAATACAGCCGTGTTTCAACTATGTAATTTCATTTTTGAATATCTTATATGATAACCAATTTCTGTATGTGTTAACACATCTTTTCTTTATTTTTTGACATATAAAAAAAAAAGAGTTTTTGAAAAGAAGTTTTTGACAAAAAAAGTCCGTGCAATAAAATTTACCTCAACTTTTATTTTTTATTTTTTTGATTTTGTAATTATTTTTTTATTTTAATAAATAACTAAATTTCATTGATATTATATAAATCAAATTTTTAAATCAGTTTTTAAATTAGAATGACTGCATGGGAGGAAAATACTCTGCCCCAAAGCTTTTATGAGTATACCTGTATCTTTAATCATTCTAGCTGATTATTATCTTGAAGCTGCATAATTTTGCGGAACGGACTAATTACCCTTGCCAAAGCACTGAGCCATCATCTACTAGAGAATGATGATTATGGCTACGGTGGGTTCCATAACTTACAGAAGCAAACTCGTGTGACAAATAACTCGGGTAATTCTTCTATAATCACAAAAGCAACCCCACAAGAAAAGGTATTTGCTACACTATAAGAGGGACATGTCTACTTCAAGGGAGGAATCGCTTATAACATCACATAGTTGTGCATGTGTTTAAAAAATTGGAGTTTTTTACAATATATATTGTATTAATATTAGATTTTAAAAGAATTTATATATACGTTTTAATAAAATTTCTTACATGGTATTTGAGTATCTTGAAAAAAAAAGCATCTAAATTAAAAAAAATATCAATGATTTGTTATAGTTGGGTAGCATTAATTATATGCAAAAATTTACAAACATTTGTTTATAATATACATAGTTGTGCGATGGATTCTTAAATTTGAGTATTAGTATCTTCTCATCTAAATATTAATGACATGTTAAATAAATCTTTATGAATGATATAGGATAAATTTTTTTACATAGTTGTGAAATACGTTCTTAAATTTGAGCATCCTATCATTTAAATTAAACAAAAATATTAGTAGCATTAATTATAATAAAACTTACATATCTTTACAAATGATACATGATAAATTTTCTACATAATGTAATGCATTCTTAAATTTGAGTATTAGTATCTTCTCACAAAAATGTTAATGATTAAAGTAGCATTAATTGTATGCGAGAATAATATAATTTATAAACCATTCTAAATCATTGATCCAATATTAACTTCCAAATGGTGGTACAAATATTTAAACATATTTGAAAAAAAAAATTTTTCATTTACAGTCAGACCTCATAAATGCGCGCTATGTCTTGGTCCCAACCTCAGGACTTGGTGATAAATGCACACCCTCCATACTCTGCATTGCACGGTATTTTTTCAGTCCCACTCATATGAAAACTCCCTCCATAAATGCATCCCACGTGACTAATGTATAAAATT